CCGGCCCCGGCTCAAGGCCGACCTGCAGCGAGCACCGGCCAGGGGAGCGCGGCCCCGAGGCTGCTCCAATGGTGAGGTGGTGTCCCCGTCGGTCCCCAGGGTTGCTCTTGGCAAGTCTCTGCCTACGAAGAGAAGAGGAAGAAAACCACCCAAGATGGGGGAAGCTAGCCTGGAGAAGGGATTTGCTACAGTGGAGGGGCTGGCAAGGAGATGGGGGAGGTGGGGCAGGAGGGAGGTGGGGAGTTGCGTCCTAGTTTCTCACCGTGCAGCCCCCAGTTGTCCATATAAACCAGCCTGCAAAGCCAGCACAGAACCACTTAGCATCCCTGCAAACCCACCCAGTCCCCACACTGGGGCAAAAGCAGAGCAAGAAGCGACCGCTCGCCTTCCTTCGGATGCAGATGGCGGCGCTGCATGGGACTCGGGATAAACAGTCACATTCATCATCATTTGGTTAAGATGAAGCTGAGTAAGACTGTCCCGGGGCTGCAAGCATGTGCCCACACTCTGCCTGCAGCTGCCTCCGGGCATCGGCTCCCTCCTCCCCAGCTGGGTCCCAGCCTGCCCTTGCCATCACGCAGGGCCGTGGCGTTGGTCCCTGCCAGCTCCCGGGGGGTCTCCCCTTGGTGACTGCATCCCCCCAAGCACCACTCGCCCTGAGCATTGGAGGAGAAAGGAGGGAAAGACCAAGGCAGCACCGAGCCGCCAGCTAGAGCTGGCAGCAAGGTTGAGAGCCTCAAAGAAATGGCAAGACATTAAATTAGATCATTAATTAACCAGCTTTCCTCTCGTCCCACCCCACGCCATCCCCATGCCACACTGCAGGCTCCCGGCCCCGAGACTGCTTTGACATCTATGCAAGCGGACAGCAAGAGGATGGGATTTATTCCATCTTCCCTACGCACTATCCCGCCGGCTTCCAGGTCTACTGCGATATGACGACTGACGGTGGCGGCTGGACGGTGAGTTGCTGCTGTGCTGGGGGCCACCGGGTGATGCCACCACCAGCCACGGGCTGTCCCCATGCTGGGATGCCAGGGGTGGGGGACATCACTCTAGAGGCTTGGATGTGTCATTGGGATGGGGGCTGAATGCTTATGGGGTCTGGCTGTGCACAGGGTGCCCAGTCCCGCGGGGAAGCAAGGAAACAGGCTCGTCTGTGTTAGCAGAGCTGCCCGGTGCTGAGCCCTGTGCTGGAGTCCCAGTGGCCCTGCCCTGGGCTTGGGGAGCTTGGCTGGAGCTGGAGGGTGGTTTCAGGTGGGGAGCTGGATGCCGCGGCTCGAGTTCATCCTTCTCGGTGGGGCTGATGCCCAGCTGGGGCACGGCAGAGCTGTGGTTGTGCCATGGGGCGAATGGCTGTGCTTTGCCCAGTCCTCGTGGTCCCAGTGAGCTGGTGCTGGGGCTCAGGATGGATCCCAAACCCGGCATGTTTTGCCTCATCTAACGCAGGGGTGCCCGGGGCGCCTCTGGTGCCAGGCTGATTCGCTCGCTCCCTGATGCCCTGTCCGATTCGCTTTGCCGTGGCGGCTGCAACAGCCCCGTAATCACAGTAATGGGGGCAGGGAGCAGGGGGGATGCAGTGCTGGCAGCCCCGAGCCTGGAGACCCCCCCTTTGCCCAGGGGACCCTTTGGGTGCGAGCAGCCCCTGCCCAGGGGGGCATCGCTCGGGGTGCCAGCAGGGCAGCGGTGGGGTCCCACGGAGGTGGCAGGGGGCTCGCCAGGGGGGGTGGGCAGGCAGCCTCTTGCCCAAGGACAGGCTGGTTGCGCCGAGCCGGCCAGCACCCCTCCAGCTGGGTGCTCTAGGAAACAAATCCCCACGATCTGATTCCCCTAAGCAGCTTTGAGCAGTGCCAGGAGGGAGCTTAGCCCCCCTGCCCTCGGGCGGCTGATGAGCCTTCAGCCTCACTCTGCCCAAAGCCCACCCCGGGCAGGAGCAACCTATCATGCACAGGTCGATACCAGCAACTCCAGTGGGGAAACTGAGGCACAGTGCAGCCCCCAGGGACCTCAGGTCCTGGGGGTCTCACAGAGAGAAAAAGGGGGGATCCCACCGGCTCCCCAGGGTGAGGAGGGTCCTTGCAAACCCCATGCACAGTCTGCACAGCCTCTGCCGGCCCCAACCATGCTCAAGCGCTGCCTGAAGAGCAGCCCAAGGTGATTAGCAAGACACTCAGAGGCTTATTTAAAGCTGCCGCAGCCGGGAGGGCTCTGGCTGGGCTGGGGAGGGGGTGAAGCAAATGATTTTACACCCTGGGATCTGGCAGTGGGGCCAGCAGGGTGCTGCCTGCAGCACCACAGCCAGGCAGCACCACGGCTCTGCCCTGCCTCGACCAGGGCAGAGGAGCCAAACCCGATGCCGAATCCCGGTGGTCCGGAGATGGGGGCATCCAGAGCAGGGCCGAGGATGCTCGGCCCAAGCTCCCATTTCTCAGGGCTGCTCCGCAGCAGAGGCTCCCAAACATACCTCCGGTCCCTTGGGGTGCGGGGGGTGTCTCAGCCATCTCCTGTGGGGCTGGGGGTGCAGGGGGGGTCCTTGAGGCTCACACAGGCTCCGGGCATGGCTGGACGCTGTGGTGCAGAGCCTGGGAAATTTCCCTCCCCTCCTCCTCCTCCTCCTCCTCTGGAGCGATTACTCCTGACATTTGGGCTTATTTGCATGTGGGTGGGTGGGTGGAAGCGATGGCAGCAGCTGAATCAATTTTGACTCTGGAGCTTGGGAGCTGCTGAGCGAAACCTTAGCCTGCATGGATGGCTTAAAGACCACGGAGAGCGGGGCAGGGGGAAGAGCCACCCTGGTGCCCCGTTGGGGAGAAACCCAGCTGGAATCACCCACTGGGTGCTGCTAGGCACCTCCTCATCCCCACGGTGTGATCTGCAGCGTCTCCCTGTCCCCTTGCCAGAAGCAGGGTCCCTGGACGTTCCCCCTCCCCTTCATCAGGAAGGTTGAGCAAGGCACAGCCCTCGCTGGACCAACAGCTCTCCTCCCCGCAATAGCCGCATCCAGCCCGGGGCAGCCGAATTCCCCTGTGCCGTGCAAGTGGTTGGAGCTCTGGGGCTCTTTGCTGCTTGTTTTGCGTAGTCAAGAAGCAGAAATCCGGCAGAGAGGGCAGCCAGCATCCGTGTCTGTGCAGGGCAGGGCAACACAACGGCAAAGAAACGTGGGAGGGAAGAGCCAGGGAGCCCCCAGCACACCCCCCAGTCCATTTTGTCCCCCCCTCGATCCTGCCC